GTTTTATCCATATTCAGAGATAGAATATTACTATCACACCATTTCTTTATCTTCTCAAGTTCCTGTGAAACCCGTCCAGAGAGTTGCTGTAGGTTTTCACCCGATGCCCATATGGTAGTGTCATCAGCAAACAAAACCACTTTCACTAAATCAGAAACCTTGCATATATCATTAATGCATAATATAAATAATTTAGGTCCCAAAACAGAACCCTGAGGCACTCCACATACAATATCCAGCTCACTCGATTGGTATTCACCCAACTTCACAAATTGACGCCTCTGTGTCAAATAACTACTAATCCAATTCAGAGCCACTCCTCTGATCCCATATTTTTCTAACTTGTCCATTAATAATTCATGATTGATTGTGTCAAATGCCTTTTTTAGGTCAATAAATATTCCTATCGTGTATTTCTTCTCATCCATAGCACTTGTAATGTCCTCCATCAGGTCGGTAATGGCCAAAGATGTCAATCGGTTCGACCTAAAACCATACTGACAATCAGAGAGGATTTTATGTTTATCAATAAATGTATCTAATCTGTTATTAAAGAGTTTTTCGAAAATTGTGACAACAGAGAAACCGGTCTATAATTTGTGAAGTTGTGCTTATCACCAGATTTATACAGTGGAATAACCTTTGCTATTTTCATATTATTAGGGAACTGACCAAGTCGAAACGACATGTTAAAAATATGGGTTAATGGTTTGCATATCTCCTCAATTACCCATTTAACAGTTATCATAGTGATACCATCACTATCACAAGTTAAGAACATTATGGTGCACAAACATAACCTTTACACACAACAATAATGGGATTTACCAGAAAACATGCACCTTTGATCTACTTGTACTAGTATTCATTTTACTGTTCTGTGCTTTACCAAGAAGACAATTAGAAAAAAAAACCTAAATGCTTTTAAGCAAGATTTTAAAGAAATGTGCTTTTTTTATAATCCATTTTGTGTCATATAGATCATGGTGTACCATAAGAACAAAGACAAAAACTACTGATCAAATTTCAGGCTTTTCCCCTACTATGATCCATAATGACATCACAGAGATTGGAGACACTTAAATGTATGTGATGTGTGCTATGCATACTGCTATACTGCAGTACAAAGGCAATTATCTAGGCATTTGGTCAAAACTGAGTTAAGACTGGAAATGGATTCCGTTTCAGAGAAAATAGAGTGTTAAATTTGCAGTAACTACAAAATCCAGGCAAAAACCAATCTTGTCCAGATCACTGCAAGCCAGCACTTCTCACACACAACTAACCACCTACCAAAAGGAGTTAAAATGACACTATGATTTGGTACATTGATAGTAAAATTAGGACAGAAACGCAAATTCACACAAAAAAATTGTATTAAAACAACAACAAAATATGAACGACTAGTTTGGCACATGACAGCGTTATTATTGCCAGTTAGCCAGCATTTAGCTAGCTAGGTAGCTGCTAGCGAATTACACACAGACAGACAAATGTCCTAGCCTACCTGCTTCCTTAAAGCAGTATTCACTCTGACAACCTCGTGATAATCCGACTGATAATCCTGTCCGTGCTTCTTGACTGGGACATACCTCCATATTATTAGACAGCTAATATCATCTCAATAACAGCTGAATAACAGCAGTGAGCCAGCAAAAAGTTTATATTTCATTGAGGTTCATCTTTCTGAGGGCAGATAGCACAAATAGGCAACTCTGAAGTTCTAAGAATAATACTTGTAAATGAGCCCACATGTTTGAATAACATATAGAGAGAACATATTTAGAGAATAGATAGTACACTTTGCTTTTGCAATACCTATAATTGTTTAAGGCCATACAAAGGAAACATGCAGTATCTGCATTTTTTGGCCTCATAAGTGAGATCAGTGGTCATGGTTTTTATAAATGAAAATATCTGCCTAAGAAATTACATCAATGCATTATGGACAGTCCAAAAACTAAACATGTTTTCCCAGTTTCACTGTTTGCATAGTTATTGCACTTCGCCTTTGTAAAGTAATATATTGCTGCTACATATGTATATATATTCATTCAATTATTCATCCATTCACTGTGAATTTAGATGAACTGAACTCTACAATTTTAAACATTAGACTGAATGCCTCAGGGCATATGAACCAACACGTACAATCAGTATGAACAAACAGAATTTGCATAACGATAATAACTTTTTTTCAGGCCACTTAGGGACAGCTGAAACAAGTGAGTTCAATCACCACGTGCTTAAGGCAAACTTGCTAGCAAACAGTTGGCTATTTGTACACCCAGCAGTTATAAAGGACCATTGTCATTCACTTTTGGCCATTTGATGAATCTAAGTCCAATATTTACACATTTGTATGTTGGTTTTTGTTGTTCACCAAATCCCGAGGGAAATGTTACTTTTAGCAGCTGGGCTGTTAAGCTTTTGTACTGCAAACAACTGCCAGCTACAGTGAAAAATAATGTGATGAGGGCATGGACAGATTATGAGACAATGGTTCCCTGGGTGCAGACATGTAAAAAAAAGACCCCACCCCTCTACTGCTCATTTCTTGTGCCATTGCAAGAACCCCAGACCAAAAAAGACCCAAAATTATGTTATACATTTCTTGAGACCATGTATTTGCAGTCATACATTATTTTTGTAGTATTTCTGTGACCCATTGTGGTTGTTTTTCATCTGATTTGTGCCTCATTGTAGTTTTGAGTCTCTTTGCAGTCACTCTGCATCTATTTGTTGTTGTTTTGCATGTCTTTGTAGTAGGTTTGTGTCTCTTTGTGGTTGTTTTGTGTGTTTTTCAAGTCATTTGAGTGACTTTTCAACAAGAAATATTAACAGTCAGTTCAAACTGAAGCTCTGGCCCAGGGGCCCTCTAAGCTCTTGGGCCATTTGTTAAACCTCATCCAGTCTTCCCTTTAAAACATTAAAAATAAAGTTACATGAAATTCTGTACTCACTTGCTGCTCAAGGCCACCAGATAGGACCAGAAGACAAGAAAATAAAGCTCTGTGTCAGACAAAGATGTGATATAGTCTACATCACTGTCTTTGGGGATTGCCATGGGTGTAGAGGAATAGATCTCCTACTTTCCACAAAATCCTATCTCTGTCAGTTGCTATGAGTTATGAAAGGATATTATGACCAAACTTACCTTTCATCCAACAATTTTTACAAGGTAAACAAAATGAATGTAAACGTCTTCTGGTTTCAAATGTTTGTTTCACACAAAAACCAGCAACATCTCAGTTAAATCTTAATAATATGAAACCTACTTGAGACATTTAGAACTAATCTTTGAATTTTATTATTACAAGGATAATGTTAAAATTGTTAAGTTATTTATACAGTATATTTGGTTGTTTTGCATTTAAAACATCAAAGCCTTTACTGAGTGGGGTCTAAGACTCGTGTAAAGACAGGAATAGCAAACCATTTTTACGTAAACTATACTCTTCTTCTTGAGAAAGCAGTGTCACCACCACAAGGCCCATTTAGTAGTTGTTCTGGAGTTTTAAATGATATTAATGATCTACATTAACAGATGGAGTTTACCATTTTGTGGAGTTGTAAATGTTACAATTAAAATTTTTACACATTAACTTGTTAATATTGACTTGTAAGCTGGGGTTCACAGTGTTAAAAATTTAAGAAGATCAAGTCCATTTAAATTGTAAAATTATATCATGGCTAAAATGTGTTCCTGCTGTTATCGTACTGTCCAGTAGATGGCATATGAAGACCTCAACATGATCTGTGGAAATGACTGGAACACTGGTTTTGTCAGAACACCAAGAGAGACACGACTCTTACTGTAGATGATGTTCAGTCTCGATGCAGCATGAGACTAAACGTTCAAATATGTGGAGGGCAGAGGACAGCTTTTGGCACCAAGGGAAATACAGATAGGTGACAAATTACAGAAAAACCCAACATAAAGTGTCTCAGTAACAGCTTCAGTGCACCTTGGCATTGACTCTACAAGTCTCTGGACTCTACTGGAGGGATGAGCATCATTCTTACAGAAGATATTCCCTCATTTGGTATTTTAACACGTCGTTCCGAAATGTCCCAGAGATGTCCAACTGGGTTGAGATCTATTGAATGTGAAGGCCACAGCATATGATTCACCATTTTCATACTCATCAAACCATTCACTGACCCCTTGTGTCCTGCGGATGGGGGTACTGTCTTCCTGGAAGAGACCATGCATTTACAGTATGCAGGTTCTTCCTTTTATTTGCCACCCATCTGTACATGCTGTTACTTAGAGTTATCCTGAATGTTTGAACTAAAAATATGCATAAGGGGAGAGAAGTTAATCATACTTACCTCTAGGAGACTAGAAATATAAATATGAATCTGTGCGTTTCTACTGTATGAAATGTATTTGTTTGATATTAGCAGCATTGTTCTGGTTCTGACTCATCTTATCTTTAAAGCTAAGGATGGTTAAGGCTGGTTAATATTTGGATGGGGAACCACTTGGTTTGCACAAACCAGTGCACTCTTTGTCTAGTTGCAAGGATAGGAACACAAAAACCTCAGCCAAATCACATGTGGGTTGTAGTGATTCCCAAAAGTGGTGAGCAGTCAAAAAGTGAAGAAGGCAATTACAAATAAATCTATAAATATGAACAGGGTTTGTGTGTCCACTTCAGTCTGACATAATGGAAAATTCCAAAGGCCAGAGTTGCTGTTTAAGGAAAGCGTTACCCCATATTTACACAAATATGATTTTCTCAGACTTTCCACTAGACCACAGGGATAACTGTGGCAAGGACTCCTTGTTCTGTCTAGAACCATGACTGTTTGCCTCCAGACAATGTGCATGTGTGTGTCTCATATTAACCTATTCTGCACATATCACTGAATAGAATTCACCCAGTGGCTGCTTATAGTCTCCACTCTAAACAAAATCATCAAAGAACATCATGCATTTACTTGTTATCACACACGCAAAAATCAAGTGATGCTTCTTGTTAATAATAAAACCCCTAATGGGTCTCTGACCTGGAGCAGGATTGGCTGATTGCTTCTGTTGCTAGGTTACGGCTCCATAGTATGCTTCAGCAATGCTGATAGTTGAATTGCATTAAGGAAAATGAAAAAGATGAAAAAATGCTATATAACCCTATTTAATAATGGTACTCTATGGTGTAACCATAAATCATTTACAAAATATTCACAACATGATGTAGCCAGTTGACAATACATTTATTTCAATTATATATCTTCAAATAAAAAGTTTATACTCAGAGCGCAGGGTTCAAATGCAGTCTGTAAAGCAATCTATTACATAAGACATACAGTAATTTCAATACTAACTTCATTTACATATCTAAGAATCTGCAAACTAACAAGGATATGAACCAAGAATAAAGATTATATACAAAATTTACAACAGAACACCTTATCATATAACCCATCAGACATGGTCTAAAATGACCAATAACTTCTCCATGACCATACCACATACAAATACATTACAACTTACTTTCATTTCTTAAAAATGTTTGCATTTCTCAATCACAAATGGGTGATTTTCATAAAGATTTCCCATATGGTGTATTGAAAATAGCTTATGTCATTTTTAACAGGGCATTGTATGTTAGACATTTCTATTGCTATATAATATAGTGATTTAAGAGGTTTCTCAGTGTATGGAAAGTGCATTTTACACTTGTAGCATGAATGTAGAGTAAGAAATCAAAGTTAATGAGTATTTGTACAGGCCCCCCCCGGCTGGACAAGAGTATAGGCAACTTTCTTGTTAGCTCTGTGAGCTAGGATAGGAGGACAAGTCTAGTGAGGACCAACAGGCTCTCTGTTTCTTTTTGGTCTTCAGAGCAATACTGTCTCTGACAAACTCCAGGAGGGGGAGGTGATGACTTGGTAATTTGATGTCAACTTGAAGAACCCAAGGAAGAACATACTGTAGTATATATTTAAATTTCTATTTATTTATTTTAGTATTCCTGGAAGCAACTGGAGAAGAGAGCAATTTCAGTTCAGGAGCCTCCACCTCATGCTGTGCCTCCATTCTTTTACTGATATTTTTTCAAGTCTGCTCTCTCACAGCATCAAACTTGCCATATTGCCCACAACAACTATCCAGCATGCAGAGGCCAGTGTACTTTATGTGGCAGACCTGGCACGTATGGTGAGCAGGCAGGTTCCCCAAAGCAGATACAGTAAGCTGAAAGTGATCTGAACTCAAGGGTCAATGCGGAAAGCTAAAAGTTTGTCAGAGTGTTGGTTGTTCAGGGTGCGCAGGTCTGGCAGACGTAGCAGCAACTTGGGGAAAAGTGTGCTATCATCTGGGCGGCGACTGGTGATGAGAGAGCGCAGAGCTTTTATTAGATTTTCCTGCAGCTGCTCCACTGCTCCCACCTCCACTATACCTGAGCGGTCTGAAGAAAGGGAGGAAAAAGTGGTGTTAGATATGAGTAAATGTGCCTGTGTACTGTACATGCTCATGTGCATATGTATGTCTTACCGGCTGACACGAGCACGACAGCCATAAAAAGAGCCATCTCATCTGGCTCCAGACCCAAAGACCCTAGCTTCTCACTGAAGTCAAACATGGCGTCCAATAAGGAGCCCATGCCAAGAGCCCTCAGTGATGCCAATGAGTACGTCTGCCTGTTCAGGAAGGTCACAGTTCTCTCCTTGGGGTCAAACAATGAGCAGAATCTCACCATCAGAACCTGTGAACAGAACGAGATCAGGTCAATATCAGAATCAAATCACAACATCAAGGGAAAAGGAAGGAAGCTAAATATAGACTTCCAAAGCCAACAGACAAATTGTATTTAAATGGGCGTACCTGGAAAGTGCCAGACTTGAGCAGCATGACCTGATCATGCTGGCTAAGAGTCTGGAAGCCTGGGATGCTCTTTGCAAACTCCACTACTTCCTTAACAGCAGGGGTGAAGCAGTGGGAGAACGACTCCCACACCTTCTGACTGGAATGACTGGCTGGAGCCACAGGACATGAGTTGAGTGGACATGCCTGCAGGAGACAGAGAGAAGAGGATAAGAGAAGCATTAGGGATTTTTATTCACATTAAATTGATAGATATTCACATCCTCAAAAATAAAACACCAAGTCTCACCAGAACTTTGGTGCCTCCATTTAGCTTCCAGGGGCAGGGGTTTTGGTTCTGGGTGTCGCTGTTCTGACTGGCTGGATAGGACTGAGACGATAGGCTCCCACTGATGGGGCACTGGGCACCAGCGGAGAAGCTGTACTTGGTGTTGTCAATGTTAATGTTAGTGAAGTTTTCGTTGTTACTGGGAGCAACAGGGCAGTTCGTAGGGATGCCGTAGCTTGATGTCAGGTTTTCCTGCTCACCCTGAACTGTGTTCGGTGTTTGGGTTCTTGTGCTAGGCAAGGTGGGTTCCTTTACTGAGTTGCTCTGGAGAGAGGAAGTGCCGACGTTGTTGTTGCCAGCAGCCATCTTAAGTGGCTTCTCATCACCGTTCATTAAGCTGCGGTAAGACTGCGATATGGAAACTTCATTCGTCTGGTTCTGTGGGCTACATGGGCCATCAGGAGGAGGTGACACCTCCATCTCTATGGAAGCTGAGTCGTTGAGACTGTTCATATAACTCTGCATCTCATCCAGTAGCCTCTGCTTCTCCCGCTTGGGAATACGGCCAAAACGCACAGCTGAGAAACCAGAAGTGAGCTGTTAGCATTTACAGTCATCAAGCATGGGTATCACTGCCAGCTTCTTACTGGCAGCACTTTAATTAATACATTCAGCAGCAGGAACACAGACAGCAACTGTTAAAAGATAAAATACAATCTACAAAACCAACACTCAGTTCTTGCTCCAATATGAATTCAACATCTGACACTAACTGTAATTTCTGCATGGATTTCTAATCCCAAAACCTCTCTTCTATCTCCATCACAGCTGTTTCACCACAATACAGATGTTAAAGCCTTCATCTCCACCTCCACCTCCACCTTCCTCATCCTCCTCTCCAGTCTTTGCAGTCTTCCCTTCCCCCCTTTTTTCAATACCACACCTACACTGACAGCCCTATTTATAGTATGCTCTATGCTACACCACCTCCCCCTCCTCTCGATCCCCTTCTTTCAGTTGAGCACTCGTTCTCTCTTTTCCCATTAAAGTAGGTCACTGGGGTAGCAGCAATGAGCGTGATGTCATTGGTAAAATGACAGAGCGGGTGAGTGGTGGAAAGGTCAAAAACACAAGATAGAAGAGGTAAATAGACCAAGAGTCAAAGGTGAAAAAACTGGATGATCAAAGATTCATTTGTGAGCAGGTATGCTGTCACAGTGGGGTGTATAACATTATTACTGTGGGCTTGGGTAGAACCAATAATCAACATTACATTTACTGTTTCAATTTAAGTTGTGTGCCTGTACAGAAAATGGAATTTTCCCTGTTTTGAACTTGTGAATTAGCAGATGATTTTTCATTCCCAAAGTCTAGCTTTTTTGGGGGGTCAACTAAAAAGTGTTTGCTCCAGAAAACCATGATTTATTATCACCTAGTTTAGCCATATCTCAAGAGATTAGACTCCTGTGAAACACAGCAGAAGCGTAGGTTAGCTGTAGAATTATTAGTTTAATTTCAAGTCGAACACTGTTTTATGATTAACAGCTTAGAATAACATTATATATGGAATGATAGTAAATATCAGTGTTGAAAATTAGCAGGTACGGTTGTATGTCTTGGGGAACACAAGGTAATTAACAACTTTGTGCCCCAGTTCCACAAATAAACTATAAGTCACAGTTTCTCCATGACTGATGACAACTGGGACTCTCGAGCTCCTCTTGCCATAAATCAGACGACAGGGAGAGGAGAGAGGGGTGCAGAAGGGAACAAAAGACAAGGGGAGGAGAATGTAGAGGAAACAAATATGAAGAGAAAAGGATGTTTTTTGATTAGGGGCGACACCAGCTCAAAAATTTCAACAGTGGAATAATCTTTTTGTTAAACAACAGGAATAGATTTTGACTTTTTATTAACATTTTCTGCTTCTCAGTGTAAGCCTGCATTACATTTAGCAATTAATCTTCTTCTTTACACTGAGAAACAAAAAAGAAGAAACAGTTTTAGTTGCCATACGTCTGATTTTCTTTGAGAACATGAACACAGTCTCTCACCATCTCTAGACATGCCCACGGAGAGACACTTCTTAAAGCGGCAATGCTGGCACCGGTTTCGGTTCATGCGCATGATGAGACAGTTTTCATTCTTTACACACATCTTGTAGTGAATGTTCTGCTGAATGCTGCGTCTGAAGAAGCCCTGCAGGAGGCACAAGAAGAATAAAGACTTGAAGGCATATCTCCTGTGTCAGTGTGTGCACCTATTGAAAAGAAAGACATGACATAACGCTGTCTTTGTTCAGTCTCACCTTGCAGCCCTCGCAGGCGTGCACACCATAATGAAACCCAGATGCGATGTCCCCACACACCTTACACAGAAGCACCATACCTCCAGTCTCTACGAAAGAAGCATACATCCATCATCAAAGACAGAAAAACAATGACAAAGTGCAGAGAGGTAAACAGAGGAGAACAGGATGGAGGGCAGCAAGTTGTACTTACTGGTGAATGTGCCAGTGAAGCCACAAGATCTTTTGGCCACCGTGGGATGATTGTAGTTTGCCGATGATACTGTTGTAACTTGGGCGACTTTATCATTGTTTACTTCAGGAAACTGGAAGACCATTTTTGGGGAAGGAGTTCCTCCCCCTTGTTCCTTTCTCTGCTTCAGGACCCCAATCTCCTGGAAGGAGACACCCTCAGGGGATGAAGGCTGTGAGTGGGAGGAGGGCGACTGGGTCTGGTATCCACTTGAAGGGCTGCCAGGGCTTGGGCTGGCACTGCCAGATGAGCCGGCATACAAGATAACACCACCTGGAAGAACAGAGAGTGGCGAGAATTCTGTTTACCGATCTTCATCTGGGTCCTTTTTCACACAGACAATGCAGATCGAGGTGCTTATGCGGCAGTTTCACCAACGCATACAAAACCCTGATCATGCTGGGACAATAGAAATTTGATCTGATGAATAATTTATAAAACAATGTCACAGCTAGATCAACAACAGCTCTGACCTGGATATTATGTGCAGACTCTTTTTGGTTTCTAGACTGTTAGATAATCAAAGAAAAAAAAAAGGCTTTTTCATGCCAATCACAAAACACTTGCACAACCTGCGTGTTGCTTTAACTGATTAATAATACTTTGGCATCTTGGAAGCACCCTGGAGAGTGTTTTTTGAATAAATTATACTAAATACACAGTTACAAGGCAAGATAAAAATCCTTGTTTGCTGAACCAACATCCATACACAGACTACACTTGTTTAAATAACACTGTTGCTAAAATGTTTGGTTTGATAAGGTAGACTGCATTTCTTTGATACAATAGCTTTTTATCTTATCAAAGCCATTGATATATCAAGATGTTATACAGACATTACAAACTCTATATGGAATAGGAAACTGAAATGATAGTGTTCTTTTGTTTCAGGATGTCACATCAAGTCGGAAATGTCCTATTACTCCTCAACACTACACCCATCCACCCGCCTTGTCAGCAGACAGTGTTCTTGCTTGAAGATGAAAGACTGCACCTCACGTGCAGGCTGAGCCAGCCAACTCTCTGGGTGCTCGCTCTCAACGCTGAGTCTTTTCTCCTCTACTCCCACACCCTCCCTTCTTCTCTATCCTTATCCCCTCCTGCCTCCCTTTCCCTCCCTCCTCTGGCTCTGGGTCTGCAGATCTATCTATCTGCCAGCCACCTGACCGGGAGCTCACATGGACTCTTGACACAGTTCCCGCCCGGCTCACAAGGCTCTTTACGCAGTCCCGTGTAGACAACAGCAGCAGTACAATAACAAGCGCTAGGATCACGTTTGGAACAGAGGAGGCTTTAGTGTTGTGACAACAGATGTAGGGGGAAGCAAGCAGGGCACAGACGCCTTAGGTCAATGCATTCTATAGAGCCTATGCAGAGAGTCACAGTCACGATGTTGCTGTATGGCAACTGTTTTGACATGTCAAAATGATTTGCTTAGGGGGTTTTAAGCAAACACAAAACTTAATAAACCTATATTTAAGGCTAATCCTACTCTCTGTATGCATAGGATTGTTATAATAAAACAAGAACCACCAACTAGTGCAGTATATAATTTATTGCAGAAATTAATTACTTTGAGAATTGATATATCTGTGATGATGCTCATATTCAGTTCACGCTGCTCCCCTTTTTGTTAGATCACTATGTCTAGTGTCCAATTAATACTTTAATAGAAATATGCAAAAACAGCATGCTTAAAATTCTCTGCTCCTTTCACTTTGCAACACTGGGCTCATATCATGATGATCATGACCGCACTTCGTGGGTGACTATCAGGCAGCTTTTTACTGTTGCACAGCATATATCAGATATCCTATTCTATCCTGCCAAACAAGTAAAAGATGGCTATTTGAACTGTAATGTCAGTGTTATCTGAAGTAGCATCACCACCCTTGAAGTGCTATTACTTACTACATTGTTATACTGTGTTGTTCTGTGTAAATTTCCTCTCAAGCACCTTGAATCATCTGAGAAAAGGCTTCCCTAGTCTCTCATGCTTCCTCTCCTTGAGAAAACACGTGTTGCATTTCTGTTTAGGCCCTTAAGTGCCTCCTTAATTCCACTGCTCACACGTGTCAACACAGCATATAAGGTGCTTTGGGCTTGACAGCTCATGTGTTTTGGCAGTTCCAGCATTAGACAGGTGTGTTTGTGTGAGAAAGAGAAAACATGTGCATCACCTGCAGAGCACAGGGATCACACTCCACCGTCATGTGAGCTCTGCACCCACTTTTTACACTAATAACAGTCACATTCTCTTGGAGCCAAATTTGACTGGGTGACAGAATGAGCTCTGGGGATCATTCCCACTGTCCCCAGGCAGAGGTTCCAACATGTGAGCTGTGGATGTACATACAGCCATTAGGAACTACAGAATACACAAAACACTTATCCACCCCTCCATATGCCAGTCCTCCCCTGGGCATACATGCACAGCAGTCAGTTTGTGTATACATGCTCATATCATGTCGCCTCATAAACTGGAAGAAGCAGGTTATACTTGATCCTTGGTTAGAAATACTATCTGGTATTTCAATCAAGCTTGATCTTTAATGCAAATTAGCTAGTTGTGTGATCATGTGTCAAGCTGATGACCACAAGGAATTTGGTTTCAGGAGTGGCATCGGAGCTCAATATTAACCTTATTGTTGCTGCTAGTATGAATTATACCTGTGACGCATTCATGTAAATAAATATTTTGCAAGTGATGCGTATCTTTTTCTATAATTAAAGACCTCAAGGCAACACGCGTGCTTTTAGGTCAGAAGGTAATTTATCTAAATGGTGGAGGTTACATTAGGAATGACCATTAAACAGCCATGGCGATTTCTTGACAGGTTTCTGAGCTATATTTAAAGTTTATTTGTTGAACTATTAATACACCCATATTCATCATAGTAATAATACAGTTAAATCTTCAATCAGTAAAGTTAAAGAAATGGTTGAATGCTTGTATGTGCGTCCCATAAGACACTAAATAGGACTCATAATGGTCAAGGTATTAACTGATGATTCAAGTACTTATTAATGACTTATTAATGCATTTATCTTCCTTTTGACATCTATAAAACCAGACAAACACAATTAGGGGGAAAGAAGCAGACAGCAGTTAGGCCTACAACTAATAACAGCACCTGATGTTGGTAAACATCAGTACACTCAGTGGAAAATCCTATTTATTCTCAGTGGAGCTGAAAAACATCGGCTCGCCTCTAGCTTTTTTTCTAACCATTTAGAACCTGTTTTGTCATTCACCCCTTTCACTCTAATGTTACATTTGTGTGAATAGGCCACTCGTTTTGAACATCCCCACAGCACTCAAAATGTTCATTTCAACAAAAACATGGAAGAGTAAATGGTAAACGTGGATCACAGAACAATACATCATCATTCAGTGCTGCAGAAAAATATTATTAAATTATATCCCACAATCACCAAAATAGACAAACAAAATCACACTGAACCACAGATTCAACATCTTTATTATGTTATTTTGTTTGTTTTTAATGTCACTGATTTATGTATGGACAATAAAATCAAACAAAGAAGGCTTATTTTGTGAATACCACCCACTGCTCAAATAATAGGCAACCGGGTCATTGTTAGCATTCAAAGTACTATTGTTGCAGTATTCCACTGACATAAATGGTTAGTGGTTTTTGTATGCGCAGTAAAAGGAGCTGCTTGACCTTGCCACCAAAAACCAAGATTTAATGCAGCCAAATGTAGGTTAATATGTCCTTCCAGACACCAAATATGAATATCTCACGTGTTTAATGGGTCACTGTATCTTCTAATGAACATTTAAAACCAGGTAAAATAACCAGGATCGAGTAAGATGCTGCTAAACCTCTATGACCCACTGACCAAGCTCTCGGTAAAGGAAGAGGAATCCCCGTGCGAGCTGAGCGCGAGCAGTGCGCGCGCGATGGAGAGGAACGACCGCGAGCGGCGAGGTGCCTGGGAATCATGCGCGGCACGTGGATGCTGAAGCTGTATACACGTGCTCGAGGCAGGGCAGCTGTGTTTCAAAAATCAGGCGCATGGTTTCTAACATTATCACGACTGTTTCTACCCAGGGTGCGCTGGGGAGGGAGAGCAGGTGAAAAGGAATATTTATCTACATTTTCCATCTTTGCTCTGTATTATTAGCATATTATGTCTACTGTAAGGGTAGCACCGTTATTTTATTTCCTATCGGTATTTATGTGATTAATATTAGTAGTGACGTCATTGTACCTTATGATATACTTGTCTGGCAGCCTATGGCCGTTCGATTTTGAATCATTGGCCTATATTTTTGCTGTGACAGATTCCTATTAAGACCCGTCCAGGGTGTTCCCCACCTCTCGCCCAATGTCAGCTGGGATTGGCTCCCGCCCCCCCCCCCCCACCCCCCCCACCCCTTTAGTCCAAAGACATGCAGCTTAGGTTAATTGGTGACTCTAAATTGCCCATAGGAGTGTGTGTGGTTGTCTGTCTATAAGTGTCAGCCCTATGATGGACTGGCAAACTGTCCAGGGTGTACCCCGCCTCTTACCCAATGTCAGCTGGGATGGGCTCCAGCCCCCCCACCCACACCCACTCCAGCCTTTTCAGGATAAGCGGTATAGATAATGGATGGGTGGATGGATAGATATATTCCTATTAACATTAGCTTGTCCAGTCCACATCTGTTCAGTTCTTTAATGCTCTGACAAAAAAAAAAAACGACAAACTGTTCATATTATTGCACTGTAGCGTATATAAATATGTTACTAAGCCATAGAATTAGCGGGAAATTGTTTAAAATGGGTGGTGAGCGCTTGTTTTATGAGTAAGATAGTCTATGATCCCACTCCTCATTCATGTGCAGCTCCCTCCCACTACAACGAGCATGATTCAAATCCTGGCAGAACTGTGTGTTTACTCCAAGCACTGCCCTTAAAGTCTCGGCCAGTAGCCTACATGGGTGGAAACCTTGGCAGCGATTAAGCTGCTTGCTTTGACTCTGTGGGCGTGACTGTTCCCTGACCTATTCTGCTCACATGTGTTTGGGAAACAAATACGCCTCAGCCAAAGATTTAGTGGATTGCAACCAACTTGACCTAAATGAATCTCATGAGTCAACAAAGTAACTATTCACACTTTATAATTTCCTCTTTATGCCTCAGTTGCAACTAGTTCGCCCACGACTTAATGGAACTAGACGCACAATATGAAGCACCCATATAAAATCAGTATGTGGTTCACCTTATCTGACGAGAAATATGAGAATAAAGTCAATGGAGTTGGGCTATCTGCTCTGGCTAAAGAATGTGTCTGGTCGAGGGGCATTTAAAGTCCTGCTGCACGTGAGTTTGTTTACAAGTAGAGAATCGGAAGCCCGCCGCAAAAACTGACAAGAGAGAACTCCCCTCTCCGCGCACAGCTCACTCACTCTGTCTGCAGCCCATAAGCACTTGGCGATGGTACATGCTGGAAATTCTCCTCAAACTATAGCCTACATTATCCATGTGCGTGCAGGCGGGCACAGTCAGACATTAGGATGCAAACAATGCTTAATAGGTCCTATCCAAAAGGTTTAGTGCTGCAGCGACAGAGCTGTTTCATGTTCACACTTTTTCATAATATCCTGTGCACAGCATTTTAAACTAGCGTGCAGCTAAGCAAGATAACCAAAGCCATCAATGCATTTCTGCAATATGAGCTGCTCTATGTAGACACTGATTGATGCAACAACACACATAGACACATATTTTCTATAAAAGATTTAGCGTATTGATGTCAAGAGGTGATAGGGCATCTGTTCCCTTTATGCACCATTGCATGCCCCTTTCAAAAATAACTCCTCTTGGCACTGAAATAATTCTTCCGGTAATTTCAAGCAAAAGACGTAGACGACTTACCACCAGGGCTGTTTTCCATGTTTTCCAGTCGATGTGATGGTCTTCTGTTGTTCCGTGCTATAGAACTGTTGGCGTTTAAAGTCGGACTGACAATCTCTACTTGCCACTGAGGAATTTCGTTGGTATAGGTGAAAGAGTCATGAACTGCCAAGGCATAGAGAGTGTATCCCAAAGCTTCGACCAACAGGAACGCGCACAGGGCATTGGGAGTCTTGAGAAAACCCGGTCGGCAAAGACAAAATATTAGAATTGAAAAACAAAGAAACAAGAAAGAAATTAGATCGGATGTCTTAGTGATCCAGATAATTTCCAAGGTGAATAGATTCACAGGGCAGCTCGGTTCTCCGTCTGCACACCTTATGTTGCCAGGCTGTGGTAAGATATTACTGTATAGGGGTCCTCTAAATTACAGAGGTCCCGGAGCTTTCAGCTTCTTGCCATGTACAGTCACCATCAAAACATGACCAGAGTGGAAGTAGTTTAAACACTTCCTACTCATCATTAAGCAACACGCGTCCTAAAATAACCAGCACGTTTTCAGGTGCCTGAGAAATGTGACCAGTCTCTCTCTCTCTCTCTCTCTCTCTCTGTGTCCCTTTAGACGCCTGTTTGTTGATATGTATCAGGGCTCTCTCTCTCTCTCTCTCTCTCTCTCTGTCTCTCTCTCTCCCTCTCTGAGAACATCCCCTCCACCCCACCACGCCCCCACTGTTTTTACTCTTTCTCACTTTCTCATTGGACGAGAGCCGCTCGTGGAGACGGCACATTGGGTTCTTTCGACATTGGTATGCTGTTTAAAGCTCTGCAGCATGTGCGCATGGCATGTGAGCTCGCGCTGCCCTACTGACACACATTTTATGCTAATTGCTTGCCTGCGCCCGTGGGAAACAAGGAAGCAAGAGGTCTTACTCCTACTTCATCTCCCGACTTCTTACAGTCTTGTTGTTGAATAAGGACCGACTATAATGGGTTGAATTACAAGACAGCAATGCTCGATTACCAGCCTGGCAAAGTGACATTTGTCAGGCAAAGTGAGCCCCTTCATATAATTTGGAAACATAATTTGATTAATCACTGATTTGTTAGATGTTTGCACAGTGTCAACTATACACTGGGTCCCCCATGACTCAGTCTTGTAAAAGGTTTGTGTGTCCAGGCAAAGGGCCGGGGCCCAGAGGGGTCTGAGACACCCAAGACCTCCATCCATCCATTTTCTATACCGCTTAGTCCCAAATGGGGTCACAGGAGGCTGGAGCCAATCCTGGCTGGCTGTGGGCGAGAGGTGGTGTACACCCTGGACAGGTCGCCAGTCCATCGCAGGGCTAACACGCAGACTAACAACCACTCACACACACACAATCACTCCTATGGGCAATTTAGAGATGCCAATCAACCAATGCTGCATGTCTTTGGACAGTGGGAGGAAGCCGGAGCACCTGGAGAGAACCCACGCAAACACAGGGAGAACATGCAAACTCCACACAGAGGGGCCCTGGGTTGGCTGGGGCTCGAACTGGAACCATCTCGCTGTGAGGCAACAGTGCTAACCACCTGTTCCACCGTGCCACTGTGCCGCCCCCACCCAAGACCTAAGAACCATAAATTATATATATATATATACAAAAAAACAAATAAATCAATACAAATAGAAAGTTATATACAATAGGCTAGAACATACTAGTTTGCATGAACTATGATGTGCAATGCCAATATTGCAGTTTTTTTTATTTCAGATCAAAGAAAGCCTATTTCTAATATGCCTGCTAATCTTATTATAAGAATAAAATAACAGCTGAGCTATATCCTACCTATTTTAGATAACAATGAGAAAGTGTAATTTTACTTGTTTTATTAACTCAAATGCACATTTTAAAGTTATTTTTTATACATAATTAGGGTTTTTTACATAATTGTATTTTGTATAATTGTATCTTTCAAATGACAAATTGTTGGACAGCGATAAATAATACTCTAATAAGGGAAAAAACTGCAGCACAGCACATGCGCGATGATAACGCCCATCAAAAGCGTTTACAGATTTTGGCAACCGAGTGGCTGTCTTATCAAATATAGACGATCTTTGCGTGAACATTCTGGCACGTGTGGACAGGGCGGTGCTCACCGTGACACGCAGCGGCACGTCCCCTCTGAATCACGTTTCCTTTCTCTCCACAGTTTGTGTTCGCTGAAAGGCGAAATATCGCCGGAGATTGGCCGGGACACAGCGAATGTAGGTCAGAAGCTGCTTGTGCAAACATGAGCGTCGTAAAACAGTCTAAATGTGCCTGAAACCGTGGTCTCTTTACAGAGAGCACTCAAAACGACTGCCTGTTGCTGCCAGGCACATATAAAAATCTATTTAGGTCACGTAGCTCACTTTTTATGGCTGGGTGGGGTGTCTTTATTCACAACCTTTTTTTATTCTAGATAGGTGAGCTGAATGATAACCTCACTACAGCCTTCAACTTGTGGGGAATTAGGCTAAGAGGGCACAGTCTGAGAAACAAAACTGATCACCAGCTCTGGATGTCAGTGTCATCTGCTTGAATTGGTTTCAGTTACAGGGCACTAATAATAGAACATTTCTTGTCAGAGACAAGTAAACAGAGGTTTTACATTTTATGAAATCATTCATCCAAACTCCTCCAACATTTTCTAACCAGAAAATGTTACTTGAGTAGCTTTACCCAAGTAGGTTTGTGCAATTGTACATTTGATGCATAGGCTCAGGTTATAGGTTATAGACTAATAGGCCAAATGACATTTCTAAGTTTATTTAACATTGTTGCTGGTTCATTTCAGATTAGGGTTTTACATAAAGAAACATGATGGAATTGGTAAAAGTTTTCCTGTGTGGCTTTCACGGGGATTTGAGGCAAAAATAAAGTTTTTTTGTTTATATTAACTAGGCCTGTTTTATTTTTTTATAGAAATTAAAAGACTAGAACAAATTGTAATGTATACATACTCTGTATGAGCAAGAAAATGAACACAGTGAACAATAACAATTCTCATTAGCATGTGAGAAAGTTTCCAATCATGCACAAGACATTTCTACATCCACAATTCACTGGTGCCATTAAGTGATTAGTATGAGAGGACATGGTGAGCTGTAGTGTGCGTGAACCCTCATGAGCTCCCTGCAATGGGGCTGTTACATACTGCATGAAATGAAGTTGGACCTGTTAGCACATTTGTTAATGTCAAACTATGCTGTATTAACTTCCTGCAGTTGAGAACCTACAGTAACAATTAAGGATATGCTCAAAGACCTATACAAGTATAAGACCATTTACCATAATGCAATTAGCTTTAATTTTACTTTTTAATAGTTTGTAACAATTTACTGTCCTCATTTACTCTGAAAGGAATATAGCCTGCCTTGTCTTCCAGACAGATAGCAGAGTGAGGGTGTGTGAATCTGTAATATAAGAATCATTTTGTCCGCAATTAGGTACTTTACTTGGGGTTTGCTGTACGCATGTTCAGAAGGGGTCCTTAAATGTATGCACATTTTCAAGCATAAGTAGAAAATGATAAATTTGATCTTGCAGGCAGGAGCATGCACACGGTTTAAGCACGAAATTGTGTGTATTCACGGGTTGATAAATAAGATACCTGATCTTGAACATGAACCAGACTAGGTGATTAAACAGCGCCTCTTGGTGGTTCGAATAGTCAGTGCAGCTTATGGTGCATTAGACACGTGTCTGTTGTTGCTGATACTGTAACTGTACAGATTAGTCACCTGGACATGAATAATTACTGGGGGCACGTAGGTGTTGTTGACTGTTTTTGGCATTGCATTACTATTTATACTGCAATAGTGCTAAGCTGAGCAGATATCCACCCCCGTGTTAAATGCAGGACTTTTTGTTTCCCACAAGGTGGCAGTGATAAAACTATGTGAGGAACTGGTCTTATTTTTGGGGGTTGTTTTGACATTTCCTCACAAGTTTTAAATTCAGTGGATTGTAGGGCCTGATGATCCCAATTCAGCAAAGGTTTGGATGGTTGTGTTAGAGTTATAGACAGAGGGCCAGAAAACCACTCAGGCTTTACCAACTTTCTCCATATGGTCCTGTATGCTGCAGTGTTGCACTGAATTTATGGATGCTGGTTCTTTAATTTCTGTATGCATCCTTATGTGAATACACTCAGAAATAGCCTCAGATTTGAAGGTTTGTTTCAGTGATGAACCTGGTTTAGCAGCTATGACGGTATTTTATCCTCACAACTGCCTTCTTTAGAATACACGATAATGCACCGTATGCAGTAGCAAAATGGAACAGAATCAGCAAAATAAAGATGCAAATGCAAATAATAATATGCATTCTCTTACACACTAAATACTGATGATTCTCTCACTTTCCCTCCCCAGCTGAAGAGTAGATACAGCACCGCTGGTCCACTGAGTCTGATGCTGTGGCTGAAGAGACACAACTGATTTCTTCATTTGGCAGTTACCATGGCGATGAGCGCCATCCAATATGTGGATTTGTTTCCTTCAACCAGAGAGGTGAGTTTGTGTCAACTTTGTGTCGACAATGTCTCTGGACTAATTTCAGTCAGAATTTTGGATGATGTGGTTTATTGACCCTAATGGTCAGACATGTGGCATGAAAGATAGAAAACACCAAATATTTGTGTGAATTGATTGACATAATTCATTATGTGACTCAACTTGACCTGCAGCATAATGCATATGAGATTTTATTCATCCAAACTGAGTATTAAACATTGAGATCAGCATGTTAGCTGCAATGCTAATAAAACTAAATCATGCAGTTATGATTATCTACAGTATTTTATCAGTGCTGAGTAGACTATTGATCATCTCCTTTCACTGCACATTCAGACAAATTGTATGCAGTATGTGAAAGTATATTTGTTACTGCTAGAGGGGAAATTTGAGGGGACAGTGGGGAACAAGGATGACAAGGCAAACAATGTTTAGTACTGTGATGGTAGTAGTGACCTTTGTGTGATAGCTTACCCTCTGAAGGGCATTTACATTTTCTGACAAGAAGACAGATGTTGCAACAGGCAGCCAAGATCTGCTGAGTGCTGTTGACAGGCAGCCTCTTGTGAAGAGGTGCCAGATTTTACTGGGGGGGAGGAATCCACCCCTACTAAATCAATGTTTTTACTTTTGTTCTAGCACATTGGAGAAAGTGGAAACAAAGTGTGGAGAAAAAAGTGGTTGGCGATGAGTTGCTGAGGGCTAATAAAACATGAAATCTTCACATAACCTTGGGTGTAATGTTTGTATATCAGTCTGCAAACTAATGAAGGGGAAGCTATGGTGAGACACTGTACTCGCAGAAAAGCATTTTAAAGTGGCAACCCACAGCTCTATGTTTTTGGAATTTCCAGAGATTATGGAAGTCACACTGTGTTGTCCGAACCTTAACATCTTTCCAACATCCTGTTGTTTCTGTTGAATGAAAAGAGCTAACAAAATACACCTATCAACACCTCTAAAGCTCTGTAATTGTCAAGCTATCTTTTTTGTTTATTCCTGTGAAAAACCTACCATTCTCCTACAGGAGCGATTGTGATAATTCCTGCTTATGTAAAGGCATGTCATGCCTTGTAGAATGTTGGGACAGGTGCCTTTTTTGGAGGTACGTTCTGTATTTACCTGCATACATGCAAAACGTTGCTTAAATTGTTTAGACCTCACTTTACTGACTGTGGTAATTCAAGATGAATAACCTTAGCTGACTGGAGCAGACCTAGAGATCCCCTCCACAAGAGCAACAGACTGAAAAATGACTCTGTACACTAATCTGAGCCCTTGGTTTGGGAGCTAATGCTAGCTAGCAGCTGTCGGCAGATAACACAAATGCTGCAGATGAATTCATTTCTGTCCTGTCTGTGCTCAAACCGATCACTAAAGTGGACGTTTAGACCTAGCTGTAGCAAACACTACTGTATGTAGCTGTATGGGATAGCATTACTATCTATTACTAAAGGCAAATTTACCAGAAGTTAACATTCAAGATCATGATGCATGTTTATTTCTAACAAAGAAATAGACTACTAGATTTTTGAAGGACTTTGGTGACTTTGTATACAGGTCATGTTACACATGGCCAAAAAAGCTGATTAACAGCCAGCAGCAATCTAATTAAGATAAGATGTTACATTTAAGAAGTTGGTGCAGCTTGAGTTATATATGGAGTGTTGTTTGTTCTCATAAAAGCAAAATTAACCAGCTGGATTTTTTAAAGGAGTTTGATAACTTTATCAGCAAAAGAAACAAGGAGTTTGAAGTGAAATAACATGCGCTGTCCTTGGTGCTGAAGAGAAGAATCCTGATCTGTGACTATTTTGACTCAGGATCCTGAAACACTGACCTCAGGATCTAGCCCTGTCCATCTTCAACAATAAATATAGTCTGCAAAAATATTTTTCAGCTTCGCATTTGTAGTTTTCACTACACAATTTTTATGAATTAAGATTTTACATAGAAAACATGCTTATGAAAACAGTCAACTATTTGATAATTGTTTACATTGTTATGCCTCTGTGCAGGCGAGAGCTGTGGCTAGAATAATAATTCAACATGGCATTAACCTGTACACTAGAGAATCCAGTTTTCATAGTCACTGCTGTCATTCTCATCATCTCATCTTGGGGAAAAAAGGCAAATACACCCAAAGTGAGTGTCCCAGAGCTTAGAGTATTTTGAGTTGTCCGTCTCTGCCAGGCTTGCTTCATCCTAACAGCCCCAAAAAGCAATCCCAGCTGGTATCATATCTAATGCACAATAGAGCTCTGACAACAATCTTATCTATGTATGAATCTGCTAAATGTATCCCCACGTTGGTGATGTGAATGCTTTGCAGGGGAGGGACAGATTCCCCTGCTGGGAGGCCTCCCACATGTCCTGAAAATCTAATACGCATATGAAACGCAAAACCTTTCCTCACCAAGCTTTATTTGAAGTGAGATTCTCCCCCTTTAAACCTGGCAGAGTGAGATGACCCGGAGGCATAACGTTAAAGTAATATAAACCATTTTTACCCAAATTTGGGTGGTGATAATCTTGATAACAGCATGTATTTGAAAGATGCCCAATTTATCTCATCCAGTTAATCTAACCTAGCTATTTAACTTGACAAAGTTGTCACACATGCACCTCAGATGCCAAAATAGAATTTAAATATATTCCTAATAGATTATCTATAGGCTGAACAAGCACGTGACAAAGCCAGTATCTCCAACAGTGGTATAGTCAATTAATCAAATGGGTCAGAGTATAAAGTGAGCATAGAAAAGAGTAATAGGCAGTCTCAAACCAATCTCAGACAGAATTTACCCCAATAATCAAAGAACTGCAGGGCTATTAAAATTCTTAACCTGTACATTGATTGTATGTGACCCTGGTAAATGGGCGAGGGGCGTGGAGAAGTCCGATAGCTTTGCTCTAAGAGAGACTTTATTCTGCCTTGACTCAGTGAACATAATATTTGTCTTCTTATGCTTCATACACCTCTTTGCGAGCTTATCTAGGTACTTCTTTAACTACTGAAACTTTTTCCACCCTTAGTACCATGTACATTACTGCACTGACAACTTCCCCAAAATAGATCGCACTGCTTCCCATGTCACAATCACATTGACCATAAGCTCTTAAAGGGGAAGCCTGACCAGTTACACTGAAAAAATATCCACAGTATGTTAAACTTCATCCATCAATGTCTGTGGCAGCTACTTTAAACTGAATGAACTCAATGATTACACTGACTAGCGCAAGTGACGATACACCCATTGAAGGAACAATGACTGTTGTGTGATGTCGTGAAAAAAGCCCATTGGGAGTGACATGGTTAGGAGATCCTAACTGACACGACTTGTGGATTTGTGTGCATGCTGACCATAATATAAACATTCTTTTGCTAGAATCACTGACTATAACTTTAAACACAATTGTTTTTACTTTCCAAATATTTAAATACTTATAAATCAAAATTTTATTTTGATGCTTTAGCAACATTGTTAAACTTTCATGTCAGTAAAGCCATGTCATTATTAAATTCAATTATGAAATTAAAGAATTATTGAATTTAAGCATTAAATTATTTAATTAAAGAGCTGAATTAAGTAACTGAACTGATACTCACATCCACTCTGGGCTGCTTTCTACTGGATGCTGCACGTGGCCAGTTAAATTACGGCCCAAAAATGTTCAGTCCAAGAGTCCATTTTCTCAACTAACAGTGGTTCAGATAAATATGAAAACCTAATGAAGACAGGACACTGTTTACTACAGAGGTCTGCACTGGCAAACAGACTACCCAGTGCAGTAAAGTCAAACACATTCCCCCAACCTCTAAATGTTATGTTACAAAGCTCCGTTTCCCTGAATGCATAACACAGCGTTAAGTTGAACGCGACTCCAGATTTGTTTGGTAATTTCCTGGCACTAAACCAATATATTTGAATGAGCATCGTAGAAAATGCAAAGCTCTGGCAGAGATTATAGTGATTGACGTAGCGAGCTGCTGCTTGCTCAGTAAACACCCGTGCCCACTTCCCTCAAAATGTAAAAGATTTGCACTCCATGCAGCCCTTATTGACGGCTCTTCCTTTCCAAGGATCAAGGAATGAATTTTCAAGCTCAACATAATTCAAATGTCTTATCTACATTTCTTATTTATAATCAAAAGCTGTGGGCTGCTGGGAGGTTATGGTGTCCACATTTTTTGGTAACAAACACCATGAGACATATACGCTAGATGCCGCATGAGCCACCTCTGTTTGTTATGGTGACATCACCGTGGCCACCATGCTCCCAGGGGCGAGGCTGCGACTCCTAATTCATGTATGTGTATGAGGGCAGGAGGTCTGTCCACACTAAAATCACCATAACTTGCTTGATTTACAGCCCACATCTTTGCACTCTTGCCAGTGACTGTGGTGTTGCAGCGCTTGGTGGCCGTTCACTTCCAGAATCTTGGCCCTTTGGTGCCTGGCAATGTCCACCAAGGCATGGCATTTGGTGCCATTCATTATATGCATTATAAAACCTAGATACATTTTGTCCATTGTGTTCCAGTTTTGCTTTGGCATTGTGTGGCCCACTGCATATGCACATTCATCCAGTCATCTTATTTCGTCAGTGCTGCGCCATCCAATCACCATCTGTCCTGCAGGCCGTAAATCTTATACATATCTGCTGCAATTAGACAATGGCTTCCACATGTGGATCAAACTCCTTCAACAACTCAACCCCTACCTCACCCTCTTGTACGCCCACTGTCTCCTTTTTCCTCCCTCTGTTTTTCTTATTTCCCCGTCTCACACTGCTCTCTGTGTGCCCCCTTTCACTTTCTCTCTCCCTGTCTTTCCCTTCTCTTTCTGATTGAATTACCATAAGTGAGAGCCATGGCCAAAATATGCCAGCTTGTTCTGATTAAAAACTGTCCTTCTTGTACCAGAGTCTTTCCAAATGACTGCATGTGTGTGTTTGGGGGTTGGGTTAGGAAGAAAAGTGGAAGCCCAAGAAGA